TACGATGGATGACGTTGTGCAAAAAGCAGTGGAATTTGTAACAAGTTTACCATTTGATACGTTCAAACCCATTGATTCGGAAATAAGTCGACGCAGATTGATTCGAAATGAAGAAGATAATGATTTGAGCGAAAGTGAATTTGTCAATAAACAAATTCGTCATTTGCAATTGTTGGACAAGAGTTCTGTTGAAACAAAGACGGTTTTACAAGAAGAAGAATTGAACAGTGAAATATCTGCAGACGAATATGATTTGATCAGACCGAATATTTGTACAAATTGCTACCAAGATATTGATGAAACAACTCCAATGACAGCATTAAAATCCTGTGCACATTGGCTATGCAATGAATGCTGGAGACAATATTTGGAGAATTCAATAAAAGGAGTCAAAGTTATTCTTTGTCCAGAATGGAATTGTTGTTCAATCATTGACGTTGGTAAGAACTATTTGATCATATCAATTGTGTTCACATTTGTTGTCTTGTAGGTACACTTCTGTCATTGGTTAATGTTCGGTGCATGAATTTGTATGAACGAAACATCGAAAAATGTCTCGTCAATGTATCACGATCTTATACGAAATGTTCATCGAAGTCATGTTCGAATATTATTCAAGTGATTGGTTCCAACGCTGAACATGTCCGATGTCGTTGCGGTCATGAGTTCTGTCTTCATTGCCGAAAAGATCCTCATTTTCCCGCAACATGTAGTGCGTATCGTTTGTACACTGACGAAGTCTATCGTAACGGCGATTTCATATCCGATTACAATGCCATCACTCAAGTGAAAGGGCGAAATTGCATATCATGTGATAATTTTATTGAAAAGAACGGTGAGTTCACTACATTGCTTTCTTAAGAGTACATTACTGATTGAAATTTTTTTAGGTGGTTGTAATCATATGACGTGCCGGTGTGGAACAGAGTTCTGCTGGACTTGCATAGCGTATTGGAAGGATCACTATCTACCAGACGGAACATTCCGTTGTCCAAAGGAAGCTGTACCACTGCAAGAAGAAGTTTTGGCTAAACACCATAATCAGTCCCGTCGATATTACTACACTGCGATACTTCACCATCACGAGCGCGTTTTAACCAATACACAAAAGCAAAATGAAAATGTCAAACGTTTGCTTGGCACTATACCGTTGGATAAAGGCACATTATTCGATAGTGCTCTCGTGAAATCCCAAGTCGACAAACGTGAAGCGGTCTTACGTCATCTTTATCAAACGGTGAAATACATTGCGAATTTACATCGTATTTGTGAATTTATTGCTGTTGCTGCTGAAGGTTACGGAAATAATCCAAGTGAATTTCGAAATAGTTTACAACCACTGGAAATAATTGCTTTTCAAATGAGTCAAATTTTAGAAGGTGGACGCGGACAGAAGGCTATCGAACAATTAAAAGATTTATATGCATCCAGTGAGAAAATCATTGAACGTTTACGACGTGCGGTTACTTTACGAGAAGTACGTCGAGCTAATACAACTGGTTATGTCACATCGTAAACAGGACATTGTCATTCGAAAACTTCTGTCTGCAGTATATGAATATATTTCTTTTTAAATAAAAACTTCTTTTGCTTTTTCATCTCACGGAATTGCTCGAGTCAATGTTAAAACACTAGATACATTCATAGTTGTTACCTCATTGACCTATTCTTTGTAAATGATAAGACAAATATGTAACCTTGTCTCTGCGTAATAAACCGAGAAAGGGCGTATTCCATCCGATTATTTACTCCCACTAGTCTATCGCCTTCACCGTTGTTTTGCTAATATATCTGCCTTCATACTCATACAAACTTGATTGCTACATATGAAATATCTCTACTCGATCGCACAATAAGTAAAGTATCATTGATGGTTTTCTCGTTTGTGTCACCTGTACATATAACTTCGTTATAAACAACTAATGAATTCGCTCTATGCATATATGGATGAAATATCTATGAATCCTGAACTGATTTGCAGTATTTGTCGTTTACCATTAACTGATCCATGTTGTACACCTTGTGGTGAAATGTTTTGTCGTATGTGTATTAACAACTGGATTGAAACCAAGAGTAGTTCTTGTCCTCATTGTCGACAAAACTTATCGATCAATAGATTATCACCAGCGCCACGTTTACTTCGAAATATGCTTGATCGACTACAAATGGAATGCTTGATTTGCGGAGAAATCGGTATATTACGAATCAATATCGAAGAACATGTACAGAAACTATGTCCGAAAACGATTGTTTCGTGTCATTCGGCAGATATCAAATGTCCATGGCTAGGACAACGTGATCAATTAGATGATCATTTGATTGCATGTCGATTCGAAGGTATGCGATCGATTATCATTGAACTTGTTATGGAAAATCAACAATTGGAAGAGAAAGTTGACGAACAGATGAATCGAATTAATCATTTGACAGAATTATTAAAATTTCAAGAAGATCAATGTGTTGCACTTAAGAATAAATATGAGACACTTGTCAAACAAGAAAATCAATTGAAATCACAGATTCATACGTATGAACATCAAGCTCAACAATTGCTGGAAGAATTACAAGAAAGAGAAGCCGAATTAACATTCATTCGCAGTCAACCATGTATGTATACAAATCTGACATCCATAAAAATTTCCATCCATCTCTTTTTAGCACAACTCGATGTTAAATATTCGTTTATCACAATATACGAATGAAACTTGAACAACGGTATTGTTGTACTTGTCATCCCTGTTTGAAATATTGGAACTACACACTTTTTGACGGAATGTTTTGCTCATGTATATGTTTTAACGAAACGAAAGCACATCGACTTCTCTACTTCTGGAAATATACCAGAATTGACAAAAAAAAAGAATTAAGCTCTTGACAATAATTAGTGATTTCGTAAATGAAATGGAAATCGATTATCTCCTCAACTAAGATACCTCAATATGTTCGACATCGCATCATAAATGTCCGAAATTGTTTTTAATAATTATCGTGAATAGTATGATCCGATTGATATGTTAAATTTTGAAAGGGATCAGTAGAATGTAGTCTGGAACAATGATAGAAGAAAAAAAAACAATATTAAAAAAAAAGGGATCTGTTAAAGCTGCATTTCTTCAATACACATAATGAATGTCTTTTACTTTTTGTAATCATTTAAACATGAATTTTATTTGGAATAAAATCGATTCTTTTTCACTTGACATGTTTTAATGACAAGAAATCGGAAAAATGAAAGTTCATATACTCGAAATCGACTTTATTTCTTATTAAGATAAAATCAAACTGATATTCAAGAACATGTTTCCAATGACTTTCTTGTGTAAATCTCTTATCACCTACAAGTTTGAAATGATCGATCAGTTTTATTGTGAATCTTAGTACTAATCAAGTGAACTAGCTTCAACTACTTTCCAGAATTTTGATCAGGCTTTTCAGATAGAAACATGCTCCATCGGTACAGGACAATATATAGTCAATGTATTCTAACAGTCGAGTCATCTGTTTCTCTCACATATCAGTCTGATACTTGACAATGCTACATTTTCTCCTGTTCTAGTAGAAATTCTTATTTAAAGTATAATAGATAGAATTGCCGGTCAAAGTTTATACGGCCACATTGAACAAAAGAGAGTAGAAATAACCGGCCTTCTCAATTTGTTAATAAGTTCAACAACAGATGATTTCGCTAAGAAAAGCTTCTTGCAAAATTATCAAGCACTAATGTTCCACCGAACAAGGTAAGCGTTTTTTTCAAGTCAACTTCATGCATTTCGAATACACAGAATGAATAATGTAACTTCAACTAAATCTTCGACGATTCGTTAACAAGCGAATAAAAGTAATGGTTCACATTGGTCGACATTGACCCATGTCATGGGCGCCACAAAAGGAAGCAGTCGTTCTACACAATCTTTGCCATGAAAGGCACATCAAGTGTATTAATAACTATATGTGGTCAGTAGATACAACTCTACCCTGATTGGTAGAGTCAGCAATCGTACTGTTTTCCGGAATGGTGCAAACAAACAGAAAAAGAGGATTACAATATTGTAGACATCCAAGACAACTTGAAATTATCGGCATAAGCTCGTACATTTGTTTTTTTAATTTCATTAATCTTTATTCATTTCTCTGTTTTAAACGATCAGATGGTGTATAACAAACAACTATCAAAATTCAATTTTGTTTATGAAAATACGCATCAACTCAACGGTAGAATTCTGAACAAACAAAATCTCGATCACATAAAATATCTTCCTTTTTTATTTCCTAATAATATTTCGATTAATTACACATAACTTTCTTTCATTGCTTTACAAACTTATCTATTAGTCAAAGACTCAACAGTAATGAATCCAACTTTCAACTTGCCGTTAGACATGCTCACTCATCATGTGTGTATACATTTGCTTATCGATATGTAACGATTATTCGTTTTTGTTACGATCAACAATAAGTTACCTAACTAATAGATTGTGTTTTGAAATGAATATAAATAACTTTCATCAATCACGAAGTCAATACTAATTGAATCAATAGCCAACTGTTGCATTGCAATGTATAGAAAATAGATGAATGAATTCATCATGAATGAGATCTCTAAGATGTTAATTACCCAGCTTGCTCCCTTGTGGCTTAAATGAAACATATAAACGGATGACTGATCACAGGGAATATCCTATTCTTATGAGTCTTCAAACTGTATATCTTTGTTAAAATATTAGGACTATCAAAGAATTTCATATAATTTTAATAGTTAGAAATCGAATAAACAAAATGAAGAAAACTCGAAGAAATTCTTATCAATAATTATCAGTGTTGATTGACAGTCGTGTTATTCGATATGGATTAAATTATAGAAAAAGTGAGATCCTATACGGTAACAAAAACGAGAAAAGTTATTTGAATAGATGAATCGGTTAGTTTCATAGAATTAAAATTTACAACCAGATCATATAAACAAGATATCACCGGCTTTGTGTCTCGCCTTTGTATACATATTAAACAACGACTTCATAGAAGAGTTTTCTGATGCGATTGGGCGTCGAAGTTTCACTCGATGACGAACTTTGAATAATCGAGGATTGTTGCTGTGATGGAGAAAGAATTGGCGGAAAACCATAATGTGAAACTAATGTTGAAGCCGGATCTGAATGTTGGGTGTCTGTGTTAGTTGGGATTAATATATTTGTATGCTGTGTAACACAACTGGATTCTGACGAAGGATTTGAACCTGATCGAGATTCACTGCGGTTCCAATGAGGCGAAGTATGAATATTTGTGATACGTCGTGTAACTCCGTCTGAAAATACAAATGTAAAAATGCATCGAGATCAGATAATGTGCTGGTAATACTTACATTCATCCTTTCGTTGTTCGTGATCGACAACTTCGGCTATAATACAAACAGATATCATTAAACTAGATTATATTGTTCGTAGAGAAAACGTACGTGAATGAGTAAATGAATTTACTATTTTACGCTGTTGATAGTCATAGTCAAAGGATGGTGTTTGAGGATTTGTATTTGTATACAACATATATGGATTTTGAAGACGAGGCTCGGAAATGTCACTAAAATAGATTTCCAAATAACAGAATCGTTCTATTTCGAAATGAAAATGTACTCACGGTCGAATATCTTTATCAAGACCAACGATACCAACTAAACGAGAGAATGATGTACAATTGGATTTTGAAATCAAATGACTTACATTTATTCATATTTGGTTTCGATTTTCGTGCTCTGGATCGTGCACAGATAATGGTGACGATGATAATTACAAGAACTAAAAAACTGATTATAGCAGCTACTGCAAAAATCATCGGTGTTAAATCTCGATTGTACATTTCTGAAAGAAATCAAGTCTTTCGAATTTAAACAAAACCAAACAAATCACTTTTACCTTCTTTCATTTCAATTTCTTGTCCGCAAATCTCGCGAGTTTTCTTTGAACAAACGGCTAACTTTAAGAACGGTTGATCTTTTCCAATTCTCCATTGAACTTGACGATTGACTATTGGCAAACATTCGTCTACAGATTGATAGAGCTTGCCATCGGATGATTGACGTATATTCAAACATAACTGATTTTCATTCAAATTGGATAAACGAGAACTATCTGGTAAGTAATCAAATTGAAGTAGATTTTCCTTGGATTTATACGAAACAACATGCAACTGCGGTAGATCTATGTTTCGAAAGAATACATATATACATCTATGTCTATATTTCAAAACGAATATATCAATACCATCCGATGTGATGATCAATTCACTTGTTTGTATGGGTATATCCATACTCCATGGACTTTCGCCATAGATGTTCGTTGATTTGATACGAAAGAAGTACAATGACGAATCATTGAGATCTTAAACGCAAAATGAACAAAGATCATGTCTGAAAGAATGAAATCAATTGAATACCTTTGACTGTATATTCATAAATGTTAAATGGTATCTGTTCGGTGATGATGGTGACATTTGATGAATTGGCAATTTCAATTGTAAATCGTTGTGATCCACTTCCACCGTCAAACGACGGGGAGAATTGTATTTTAAACGATGATGATGTAATTTCCGAAACAAGAATATCTGTTGGTGTTTCAGGTTTACCTCGCGACACAATTGTATAAGTCCATTCTTCTTTTCCAAGCAAATTCTCGGCAATACATTGATACGCACCGAAACTTGCCTTCGGTATTGCCGAAAAACGTAAATAACATGTTTCATTGATAATTTCATCACATTGAATGAATTGGTCGCCGAATTTCCAAATTATAGCCGGTTTCGGTTGTCCCAATACGCGGCATGTCAATATGAGAGGATGGCCAACTTCTGCGGCTATCTTTGAGTGTGTTGTTTCAATAATCGGCCGACTCTGAACAATAAGTTCAATCGTACTTGAACCATTACTTGTTTGATTGTTATGAAAACGATTATAGACAGTGCATGTATAAAGGCCGGAATCGTTTCGTTCAACGTGATCGATTCGATAATCGATGAGATGGTTATCACGTAAGATTTCGGTGTTATTTTTAAACCATTTGACTTGGTATGGCAATGGATTGGAAGTCGATGAACAACGCAGATTAACCGAATCTGAACGATTGGCAACCATACGAGATTGAACAGCTTGAACGCGCGGTGAATCTAAATGTGATGATGATGATTAAGAACAGTTTTGCTGCTGGGAAAGGAAACTTACATTCAACGTCAAGATAAATCGATCGATTTCGCCGGCCAAGTGCATTTTCCACCACACAAGTGTATACGCCAGTTTGTTCGGATATTAAACGTGGAATATGAAGCGTTCTTTCACCTAGTCGCGAAATATTTGTAATGCATTCAAGCAAAGAAACAATTCTTTTCTATTCTTACGGCTAACAATGGTCGTTTCATTCGTTATCCAATAGATCGCAGTTGGTGGCGGATTAGCATGAATTTGACAAGTTAGATTTTGTTGTCGAGATTCGATACCGATTATTGTTCTTATTTGATTTAGTTCACTTGAGAATATCGCTGTTTCTTCAAGTATGTTCACATATGGTCGATCTATTTACATATGCAGGAATGAAAAGAAAAGATGAGCATATGGTCATTGTCGCGTTTTACGTCTGTGCTTACATTTTACGTGTAAATATTGTTCAAGACGAAATGGACTTGCAAGTGCTTGATTCCAGATTTGACATTCGTACTTGATTTGATTGTCAAAACGCGTCACATTAAATGTATATGACGAGCTATTCCCCGTTGTGATCACTTGTTCATTCAATGAACTGGAAGAACGTAGAAAGCGAATGAATGAAAGTTTCTAACGAAGTTTATCGAATCATACGTGAGAAGTGTGCCATTACGATACCATGTGTATTGAGGCGGAGGATTTCCATTCAGTGATGAACATGTCAATGTGACAGCTTGATATTCTTCGATATCCACTTTATTGATTGTTAATAATGGTGCCTCAGGCATAACTGAAGAAAGAAAAACGATGACCAGCTTGTGACTATTATTTTTCTTTACTGAGTACTTACTTAGTACAACAAGATTATACTGACAGAGGATTGTTTGTGTTTCAAATGTTTGACAAATGTATGTTGTTGAATCATTATGATTAACATGAAATAATTCCAATGAGCTATGTTGATTAGTGAGATCGGTTTGATAAGAATTTTCGAAAATCTTCGGTATTTTCCCATTAATTGAAATGATTAGATTGTCATCGTTCGAACGAGACTTTTTCCATTGGATAATATTATCTTTGGATGAGAAATCCAATGGTAATTGACAGCGAAATTTGACATTTTCGCCTTTCGTCACTGTGATATTCTCCGAGTGAATAGAGAGTGCCAACGCTACGAGAGAAGAAGAATCGGCTTTGAAAGTACACAAAAAGAAATAGTAAGACTTACAGTGATGTACGAAAAAATAAGAGCTGATAAATAAGAAAACGTTACGCATTGATTCGATTCTAAAATTTGAATGTGAATATGTTTCACAGTTAGTTTAAAAGCGAGAAAAGAAACGAGAAGGTGGTGATGATGATGATGAACGACAATTTGTCCATCTTTCTTTTGCTCCTTCTCTCTCTCTCTCTCTTTCTCATAGAAAGAAGAGAAAGTGTCGATCATTCAATCTGTCCAATAGCTAGCGGGCCTAATATGAAGTGTGGTCGTGTGTATGCAAGGCGCGACTATCTCAACGTGAGATCGAACCGACCTTATTCAATTACCTATTCTCATTGAATAAACTCTTCGATGAACATTTGAACCTGGGAAATTTGGTTACAAATACATAGTGCACAACGATGTAATCAGAAGACTGATCGACGTAATCGCTGTATTAGGAAAGACATATTCTCGCTAAACCGTAGGAGAACTATTAGAGTCATGATATAACTTTTGGTCAATTATCAGCTGGACACCTGTTGTTGACATTTTCGCAAAAAAAATAATGGCGAGCATGAGAAGAGAGGCAGAAAGTTGGAAAGGGTTCGATCGGCAAGATTGAACAGCTTTCTCTCTCTCTCCTCTTTTTGCAGATGATTCAATGTTCCGATACAATGTTTATTTATTTTGTCAGATAGAGGAAAGAAAACGTGCGGACTAGTAAATATCGACGAAGAATAATAATTACGTTAGCAGATAGAAGCCAATGACCTTTTAGATACTAACATACCCAGGATATCTACTTTATTGTGAAGTAGCAGACATGCTTCAATCAATTAGATATCAAATGAAGAGGATAGACTCTTTTCTCCGTCGTCTTCGATGATGAAGATGCGGAAGATGACTACTAGTATCAGTAGGATGCCGCAAGCGTTTCGATGACCCTTGTCAATCAACATGCGGAAAGATAAAATTCAGTCACTGCACACTTTCTTGCTCATATATCTCGTTCACTCTAATTGAACTTGTTCACTACTGAGATGATTTGCACACTTATATTTATAATGATAGAGAATTTAAATGAGACAAAATATAATTAAGTGGAATTTGCAATGAAGGCGTAGGGAAGGTCACCCTACGATCAATTTTATCTATTAGTTACTCACCTGCTCAAAATGAGGAAGAACATCAAGTATGTGATCGGTCAGATACGCATACCAAGAAATGAAACAAGAAGAAGAGAAAATACTTGACTTGTCATCGATCTTATCTCGTGTTCTTCATATTCTCGATGATGGTCAACAACAGGAGAAGTAACAGACGAAAGGACTCTCGAAAGTAAAGTTCACCCTACGTATGTGTACACGTCATCGATTTTGGTAATCAACATACAAATAAAATGAACACTATTTCTTTACTCTCTAGTCGATGATGATTTACTTCGTCTTCCGTGTTTGTCTACATATACACAGATAAGAATTGCTAGTCTATTCAATCTTTTGATTATCTATTCTCCCTCGTTCTATGGAAAAAAAAGGCAATAATTCATCAAAAGTACAACGGCTAGTCGTGTGTATCTAGTTATATTTATATATATAGATAGACAGAAGTGAATGCGAAGAATAGCTCTTATATTATTAATCCAGTATGCTACGAACTATCATCTCTCAAGCGATGAACAAATGAAGAGAAGAATGACGAGTGCACAGGCGATTTATTGTCATGTTTATTTCTTTTCTCTCGTTGTTTGAAGAGAAGAGAGGAGAGAAAAATAAGTGACCAGGATATAATCTTAACAATTCAATCACGTCAAGTAAATATCGAAGTTGACTTCATGGTCCATTCTTTTTTGTCAGCATCTATCTGTGCTGAACAAATGAACATCCGAAGTTTGTTATTTTCTTCACATGTCTGTGATGTAATTTTCATTACTAAAAAGCATTTGTCTTGCTGATTAAGCAAAATCACGAAGAAAATGTTTCCTTCATCGATATATACAAACGATAACGAACGTTTATTTCTTCTTCTTTGCGTCTGAAATGTCAGATAATTGAGGAAATATTTTTATCTTATTTAACATTTCAATGAACATCATTCGCTTTTGTATATATGATTGATCTTTGTTAGAACATGACTGGCGCTTTGAAAACATGACAACAAACTGTTGAAGAGTCTTGATGATGAAGAGATCTACTCCTACTGTTGTCTTTTTATTGTCGACCGACATCGATGATTTAATTAATAGTGTTAATCGTTGACGGAAATCGCTTGCTGTGCAAGTCGTCCGATGTTCGATTGTTTTCTTGATCGTCCCTCATTCACATTTGAGTCGTATTCAATTGAATAGACACAGCAGGACAAACGAAATTACAAATTCAAGTTCGAGCGCAAACAAAATGTCATATCTTTGATGTTCTTGTCAAATGAAGTTAATTTTACAGGACAAAACACATATTCACTGAACATTTTGTTTGACGCGTTTTTACCATGGATGACTGGTCAAATCGTGTATTTTTCATTAATTATCAAATGTTGCTAACGAATTGTTACTCTCTATATTTTTGTGTTTGATTGATTGTTTTAGTGACATTTGACATGTAAAAAATGTATTGCAATTTGAAATGAAATGTTTTAGTGAAGCAGCGTAAAACTTTATTAATCATTTCTTTTGAGGTTCATATACACGTGAAATAAAGTTTCAGTCTTGATTTCTTTTGATATTGACGCGAAAAGATGATCGATTATACAATCGAAGTCGGTCTCGTGGAAAGAGAAGTTATCAAAGACAAAAACAAAACACACCTATAATTTCATTCTCTTTTCAAAATAATAACATATGCACTCAGTAATAGTTGCATTCATGATAATTATCCATTGTCATTGTACAAAATACAACAGACGTCTGGATATGCAGGGATTCTGTTTGAAAAGAAGCATGAAGGATTGATTTTGGTTAGTGAATTGAAAGTGACTGAAATTCTAGAGAGAAGTTGACGAATCTTTTTAGAGATGTGATTGTTTGTGATATGTCGTACAACAAATATCTGATGATAAATAACGAATTGATTCTTTACGTTTTCTTTCACCTTTGTTCGATTTTCAGGTATCGAATGCATTTCACCGTGAGTGACTCTCTTTTCTGACCAGTAAATTTTAGTCATGAACAAGTAGAACTTTTCGATTTTGAAGATCTCATCGATGTTGATAGTTTATATAACAGACAGTGAGTATTTTTTCAAAAAAAGCAATACCTATTTATATCATACTCATAACTGTTGCACACGCTAACTTTCAATCCCATTGCAGAACTCTAAAATACTTCTTGGTTCATTCAAAAAGTTAGGATTTATCCTAAAATGAGCAATACGATGTTATTATCAGATATTCCTAATTAAGATGAGTTACTGGTGATTGATACAACTGATGACATTTGTTCGAGTACCGTCAGTGAAAAGTTTTTGATCGAAGCTGCAGAAGCAGTTCGTGAAATTAGTGGCAAAAAGTTTGTTTTTCGCACTTCACTATGCAGCAAAACGTATGTTAGGACGACGATTTCCACTACACGCTATGAGATACTAAGCTTTTCGCTTTATTTCTTTTGTTGACACAGCGCTCGGATATATTTTGTGTCGCTTGTCTTTTTAGATATCATGTGATATAGGAGACAAAAGAATTATATGCACAAAGCTCGGCATCGAAGAGAAGATAAATGTCATATAATTATCAGTCTTTAGTACTCATGCGTTGATGGATAAATTCATCAAAGTTTTGTCGTATTTACTCAATTAAAGTCAAGGTTGGTCTAAAACGAAAACAATACAAACTGGAATCGAGAACAATTCTTAATAATCATGTAGGAAAAATCTATTAAGTTTATATTCTGATGAAAGTCTTGAGATGAATTTAGTAAGAAGATCCTTTCGCGGTATTATTCATTCGTATGAGATCAATATCACATAGCAATTGTTTTTATGTCATGGACATTTGTAACAAACCGATTTTCGTAACTTTCGGAAGCGCTTACATTCAATAGAAACGAAAACCATTGAGAGCGGAGAGTATGACCCTCACTTTCGTGCACACTGTCTAAGATACACCGTCAAATACTCTTCTCTTGGTATTCTTAGAACACTGTCAGTTGCTTTTTTTTTGTTAGTCATTGAGTATCATCGAAATTTATATAGTCTGATATTGTAAAAGTACTATGTGAGCTCTTCAAGTGTGCTGCAGCATTAACCATTGCTTGTCATAAAATTTCTCTTTAGTCATATAACTATCGTTCAGTGTTTGATATAGAAATGATTTGTCTGCCTGTCAGAGTTTATTAAGATCATTTGGTAACATAAAATGCGTTTCCGACGTTGCCTATCGATATGACTCTGACATGAAAATGAAAGAAGAATTTGTGGCGTAAAATGATTAGCTGTGCAATTTTCATTCCACTCGTACTTCACATCGATAATTCTCTTGAATATATTAAAATTATGTATAAATAAGTTTCTATGAATAATGTAACAGTTATTATCCTCTTTTCTCGTAAGTAAGGTTATTGAATAGTATACATTGACAATAGCTGAGTAGATAATCTACATTTCCTAATTTGTCACAATGAAAAACAAAACTAATCAGTCGATGTTTATTTTTCTCTTTCTCATTTTCTTCTTAGGGTTCTCTTTCTATTGAAGCGAGCACTTAAATCTCGTCCGTACAAACGATATGCGATGATGTAAATCGACTGCAAGTGAACAAAGAACATATACGTAAGCAAAACGGATGGTTGTCATCGTTGTCGATTAGTTCTCATCGAACCAATTGCAGACGGCCGCCGATGCTCTGCTCTGATCGCTTAGCAAGAAAAGAAATAGTATAACAATACATATAAACAGAAGCTCTATACATATTCTGTTCCCTTCTCGTTGATAATATGTTCTTTCTACAGCTGAGAAAGAGTGGGAGAGAAAGTCATTGCCTGTTTGTCTTTCTTCTTTCTTTCTCTCGTCTTCTGACAAACAATTTCTCTCAGTGACCGCATCACATGCCGAGATGTGTATTTACGACAGAACATAACAAAAA